GTTGAACAAATAAGTGAATACACACATAGTAGCCAGATCAGGGGCTCAGTGAGTCAGGGGGTAGGAATGGCACTCACAGCTTCAGCGGGCTGGGGGCAGCAGGCATCCAGGTAGAGGGCTGGGCTAGGCAGGGGGAAGTCACAGGCTTCTGCACAGGTCCAGCAGCAGTCTCGGGGCCCTGAGGCACCTGGCTTCCTGCAGGGGGAGCTGCAGTCTGTGCAGCAGCCCAGGGCCTAGGAGATAGCAGGGCTCAGGATCTGGTCCTGGGGCAGGTAGGGACAGCCAAGAGTCTTGGCTTTTGGGAGAGGGGCAGGAGAAGGCTCTGCTGGGGATAGGAGAGAAGAAACCTCTCCCTTTTGGACCCAGGAAAAGGATAGATGGGAGGGCTAAATGGCAAAGATGTTTGAGGGCAAGAGTATGCAGACAGGGGGATAGGATGACTGGGTCCCTCTTCCCCATAGACACCACCCTTTTTCCCCCGACAAGGCCCCTCACCAGCAGGCAATGCCTAATCAGAAGTACTAGGCCCAGCAGCAACAGATAGATGCCCACAGCGATGAAGACGATGGCGGGGATGGGGAGCAGCAGGGAAGGACTGCTGACAGGAGCCGGGGTTGGATTCCACGGGCTAGAGGAAGCCTGCGTGAGCACAGGAGGAAGGGGTGACAAGGAGGCAGGGAGGGGCTGCGGGAACACAGGAATGCCAGAAGGTAAACGGAAGTGGCTGGGAGAAGGGGAGGAACAACTACCAGGTGGTGGGGACAGAGTCAATAGGACTCCATCCTGACTCACTGTCTTGTCCCCCAAGCCTGCCTTTTTTTCCTGCCATCCCTAATTCAGCACCATCAGGGTCATTCTAGACTTTCCTGAGACTTATTTACCTTCCTTTCAGAATACCTGTCCAAACACTCTCTTATCTCTAACTCCACTGCCAGTACCTCAGCCCATATCCCGGGTCCCTATAAAGGGCTTGGCTGCTAACCAAAAGGTCGGCGGTTCGAACCCACCAGCTGCTCCATGGGAAAAAGATGTAGCACTCTGCTTCCATAAAGATTTCAGCCTTGGAAACACCATGGGGCAGTTCAACACTGTCCTATAGGGTCACTATGAGTCGGGATCGACTGGACAGCAACTGGTTTGGTTTTGGTTTTGGTTTTAGAACTGTCTTCCAGCCTGTAATTTTGCCCCTCTTCACACCAACTGTCCTTGTGTATACCTCCCTTCCTTACAATCCATCAATGGCTCCCATGGACTCAGTCTAAACTTCTTATTTAAGTAACAAAACTCTTCATCTAGCCCTGCCTACCTCTCCCTTCACCCCCACCCTTGATTGCTTGGCAAAATCCTCCTCCTGTCAGGACCAGTGGGTCCCCTCCCCTGGGCAGTCCAACCCTCGAACTCTCTCATACAGCTGTTGTCCTGAGCTGGGAGGGTCTATGTTGTGTAAAGAACCTCCTCCCCAGTCCAGGGGCTCGAAGGCTGGAAACGGTGCTGAGGGGCCGCACCAGGGAGGGGAAGGGGCCTGGACTCACGTCCATGGGGCAGGGCAGCGCCAGTCAGTCCAGAAGCTGCAGGGAAAGAAGGTCCTGGGTCTTAGAGGCTGGGAGGGTCCGTTAGACTGGAGTGACCGTTCTCCTCCTCCCATTTCCCGTTTGGGTAAACTGAGGCTCAGCTACGGCCCCTGGTCCAGACAGTGGGGGTCGGGGTCCAGGGATTCGAGGGCGGCGCCTCCCTCGCAAGCTCCAGACCGGCCCAGGCCACATCCCTCCGTTGTCCCCACACCCCAGGCTCCTTCCGCCGACCCATCTCCATCACCTGCACCCTTAGGACCGCCGTCAGTTCACAGATTCTGCGTTGCGGTCGGTCTAGCCAGCCTCGGCAGCAAAGCCGCGCAAAAGTCTTCCCCTACTTCTTGAAGTTGCCATGGGGAACCAACCGGAGCACCGCTCCTACGGCGGCCGCCGGGACCCAAAAGTCGTCCGCCGCCTCTCTTCGCCTGTTCTTTCTTCCTTGGCCACGAACTCTTCTTACCGAGATTCGCGGCGCTTTCTCTCGGTGACTGAATCGAAATGGGAATTCCCGCCACCACCAGCCTAGGTCGGATCCTCATCATATGATGGACATCGAAGGAGGCATCCAGGGTCCTGGGGCGCTACAAAGGGAGGACTGAACCCCCAGGATACACCATCAACTTGCTGTGTGATTTTGGCCAAGCCAGTGAGCCTCACTGAGTTCATTTCCTCGACTGTAAAATGAAGAAGCGTCTCCCTCACGGAGATATTGTAAAAATCAAAACTACTCATCCCCCATTAGAATAGCAATGATCAAAAAGACAGGAAACGACATGTGTTGGCGAGGTTGTGGAAAAACTGGAACCCTCATCCATTGCTGCTGGGAATGTAAAATGGTGCAGCCACCGTGGAAAAGTTTGGCGGTTCCTCAAAGAGTTGAACGTACAATTACCATATGATCCAGCATTCCCAATCCTAGAAGAAGTGAAGGCAAGAACGCTAACAGAAACCTGTACACCAATTGTAATCGTTGGAGTTGTGTGTCAACTTGACTGGGCCATGATTCTCAGTGGTTGGGCAGTTATGATGTAGTTTGGCTGTCATATAATGATGTGATCACCTCCGTGATGGGATCTGCTGTGCGTAGCCAATCAGTTGAAGGGGAATTTCCGTGAGGATGTGGCCTGCATCCAATATAGGCAGACTTTGTGGCAACATTCTGGGCTTTTGCTCACTCTGGATCCTGCATCTGGCTCGTTTGTCTGAGCTTTAGTTCTTGGGACTTGAGCTAGCGGCTTACCTCCATCTTGCCTGCCAATTTGGGATTTGTTGGTCTTTGCAGCCTGTGAGCAACAGCCCTGCTGTCTGACCTACCAATCTTGGGTTCACCAGCCCCTGTGGCTACATGAATCAAAAGAAACCTCCAGCCTGACCCATGGGCTTGGGACGTACCAGCCTCTGCAACCACGTGAGCCATTTCCTTGGTGTAAATCTCTCTATATACATATGTTTATATGCTTTACTGGTTTTGCTTCTCTAGGGAACCCAGCCTAAGATGCCAATGTTCATTGCAGCATTTTTCACAATAGCCAAAAGGTGGAAACAACCAAAATGTCCATCAACAGATAAATGAGTAAACAAAATGTGGTGTGTGTGTATAAATATATATACAATGGAATATTATGCCGTTGTAAAGAGAAATGAAGTCCTGGTGCATACCACAACATGGATGAAAACATTGTGCTGAGCAAAATAAGTCAGTCACAAAAGGACAAATACCATATGATCTCACTTATATGAAATAAGCAAATATATAGAAACCAAAGAGTATTAGTGGTTACCAGGGGTGGGGAAGAGGGGGAAAGAAGGAGTTTTTGTTTGGGGGGCATTGAGTTTATGTTAATGGTGGTGGAATATTTTGGATGAGGATAATGATAATGGTGGCACAACATGAAAAATAATCAATGTCATGGAATTGTAAACGTGGAGGTTGTTGGTGAATGTTTTGGTATGTATAGTTTCACCACACACACACACACACACACACAAAACATGAAAAAATACTACTGTTAACTGTGTGGAATTAGCATCAATATTTTTTCAGCCTGACTCCACCTCTCTGTTTTTACTGACAGTGCCCTAATTTAAGACTTCATCGTCTGGTCCCTTCAGTCTTCACATCACTGTCGAAGTGATGTCCTACAACCCACATCAGATCTTGTTCTTTCCCTGTTTTAAAACCTCTAAAAGCTCCCACTGCCTCCAAGGTTGTCAGCACTATTCACACTAGGCCCTCCCTGTCTCCATTTACACATTCACAGCACGTCCCGCTGGGTGCTAAGCACTGCTCTAGGCTCTGGGGTTCCAGTAGAGAAGAAGACAAGCAAAATGCCTGCCCTCATGTTATTACATTCTTCTGGGGGAGTCAGATAATAAATATGTAAACAAATAAGATTGTCTTGTGCCCCATTAGGTCTTTCACAGCTCTACCATAGTATCTGTTCAAGGTTCCTCATCCAGCCCATAGAGTTTCACACCTCTATGCCCTTGTAGATGCTGTTCCCGCTGCCTGGAACATCCTTCCCCTGTTTTCCTCCGACAATTCCCTCCCAACTCCTCAAGCCTCTGCTCAGAAAGTTGTGCCTCAGTGAGATCTTCCTGCTAACCTCAGGCAGAGGAGGCTGCTTTGGGCTCTGTGTTCCCATAGATACACACACACACACACAATTCTAGAACTTATCACAGGGCAAGAACTTTAATTATCCATTTCAGTGTCTGGCTCCCGATTAGACTGTAAGTACCTGAGGCCTGGTCTGGCTCTTCTCTGTATCCTAAGCCCTAGCACTTGGCCTAGCCTCGGGGGCCTCTCCAGTGAGTACTCACTGATTCAATGAATGAATCGCATCCAACTCTATCCATAAATGAAGCATTGTTATTATTGTTGCCCTAGTTCCATTGGCTCTCAGAGAGCTCAAACCATCCCCACTCCCCTTTCGTTCTTGAAATTTTTTGGTTTACGCACACATGCATACTCACCTAAGTATACCTCTCCCATAGAGGCCTCAGACTTCATGTGCGATTGCTGCATCCTGGCATTTTCCCCTGAAAGCAGGGCCACCGTATACCTGCTTTTGTCCATGTTCTCCAACTCTGACGTACCACACCTGCTGCCCCTGGGGATTTCCTGTACCAGGAGGCAGCCACAGAAATTGCCAGGATCTGTGTCCCAGGGTCTCAAATCTCCCCTCCCACCTCCAACTACACCAAGAGAGTCTTAGCCACCCCAGCCCTCTCAGAGGTGGCTTCCAAGCCCAGAAAATGGGAGTCTAAGTGTCCCCCTGTCATCATCCTTGATCCTAAGGCTCTCTTCTTGTCTGCCCCATCTCCTTTGCAGAATACCCAGGGCCAAGATGAGACCAGTTTCCACCTCAGCCCCAGGAAAGGCCTCAGATGACACAGACTCCCTCACTCTCTTTAGGTCCTGCCAACAGAGAGACGTCAGCCTTGGCAAGACTTTTGGATGCGTCCGTAGCCTGCAGTGGTCAGACTTATGGTTGATGGTGTATTGTTCCTACCATGGGCTCATGCATTATGCAGAGGGTAGACAGTGCACCAGGCCTGCTCATTGCAAGGTGAGCCAGTAGGAGGGGTGAGGTACGCACCCCACTTTACCAAGGCCCCACTTCTACCCACATCATACCACTTGTTGGGGGAAGGGAAACTGACTTCCCAATAGCTGGGTAAGGTCCCCTTCCACATAAAGTTCAAAACTGGAGATGCCAGATATTATCACGTGTAATTTTGCACTGCCCCTGGGAAAGAAAGAGAAGAGTTATGTACTCCCTATCATCAGGGGGTGAGTGGGAAATCTCAGAGTCAGAGAAGGCCCAGAAGATGAAAGAAGCCTCAGCAAGTGTGGGCTTGGGCGTGGGACGGGAACCTGGGAGTTCCGATTTTGATCTAATCCTTTCAGGCCTCTCCTGTGGACATCAGACCATATTGCCTCCCAGACATTAAGACTCACCAGCCTCCTTATTATAAAAATGAAAGGCCTATGTTTAGGTAATTACCCTGGGGGAATAAAGAAGCTGAGCTGAGCTACAGCGAGCATCAACAGAGGCCTCTTCACAGTAGACCTGAGGGGCAGAAACTATTATTTCCATTTCATAGACGGGAAGAAATTATGGCCCAGTTGAAAACGCACTTTAGTACTGGGCAAGATCTGAGTTTGAATTCTAGTTCTGCTGTTGTGTGTCTGTGTGACCTTGGGCAAGTGAATTGCCGTATCTGAACCTCAGTCTTCCTCATCTGGAAAGTGGGGATTACCATAAGAGACTGTCAGGGTTTGTTGGGAGGATTAGAGAAAATGTATGTAAAATACCTGGCATACAACAAGCGCTCATTAAAAAATGGAATAACAACAATAGCTAACAGAAAATGAACGCTTATAATGTGTCACACAGAACGTGTATCATCTCATTTAGTCAGCCCAGCAGCGCTAGGTAGTGATACTGCTTCAGGAGCCTGAAGCTCAGGGGAGTTAAATCATTTGCACAAGGACTCCTGACTACTGAGTGGCAGAGCCAGGATTTGAGCCCAGGCAATGGGAATTTATGTATATACAACTGAGGCTCAGAGAGGTTCTGAAACTTGGCCACAGTCACGCAGCCAATCTATGGGAGGAAAGGGGCTTAGACCCTTGGTTTTCTGACTCCAAATCACCTACTGTGCCCCTCAGCTTTTTCTAGCGTGCAGATAAAGGGTGGGACTGGACTGGCTTAGAACAGTACCTAACCTGGGACAGGTACAAATAAAAGTATTAAATAATAAATGCTCTGGGCACCCTGACCCGGCCTCTCCCCAGAGCCCCAAGGGGGGAATCGGACCCTTTCCTGGGTATCATGTGGGAAACAGGCCACTTCTGGCTGCTTATTGTTTACTTATTCACAGCCTTCGATGATATCACACCTGCATCGCTCCGAAGGGCTGAGGAGATGCGCACACAGGTAAAGAGGATGAGCAAAACAGCATTGGGACGGAGGAGCCTGAAGGAGCGGGGTATGGTAATTGTGTGTCTGGTCTGCGAGGACTATGCAGGGGTTAAAGACTCACCTGGGAGCCAGGCTGGGGGAGGGTAGGAAGGTGGAGGAGTCGCCTAGGAGCCTGGATGGGCGTTTCTGTTTCCGTAGCCACCCCACCCTGCCGCTCTACACCGGTGGAGGACTGACGGCACGCCCACGCTACAGCTGGTGGCATTGTCTCCCGTCCTCTGCGGAGATGTTCAGGAACTCCTAGAACATCCAGACAGGGCTTTCACAGCGTGTGCAATGCACCCCATCACAGGTTCAGCAAGAAAAAAACACAAGGAAGTTTTTATCTTCCCAGTTCCCTTTCAACTCTTCCGGATTACTGCAGGAGACGGTCTCATTTTGCTGCCAGAAGCCCTTTAACACCTGTTTACCCATACTTACCTTATTTCTTCTTTTTCTTTCTTTCTTTTTTTGAACAAACAGAGAACAAGTCTCCTGGTTAGAATGTGAAGCAGGTGATAATACCTAGCTAGAATGTAATGACAGGTTTTTTCATGTTACTTGTTTTTTGTTACCTAGTATTGACAACGAGTGATACTGGTTTTCTGTTTTCAGTAGTGATATAAAGTTTCCTTTTAAAGTACGTAGTTAGAAGTAGGGACTCTGGAAACCAGACCACCGGGTTCAAATCTCAGCTATGCTGCTTATTACCTGTGTGACCTTGGCAAGTGACCCGAGCTCCTTGTGCCTCAGTTTCCTCCCGAGGCAATAGTGGTATCTATCCCCTTAGGTTGTTGTGGGGATTGCATTAGTTACTGTAGGTAAAGAGTTTAGATTGGTGCCTGACACCTAGTAAATGCTATATAAATGCTTGCTATTATTAGGTCAAATAGGGCAAAAAACCATAACTGAGGTTTGCAGAATACTTGTTTGGACCAATCCCACCATTTTCCATGTAGGAAAACAAAAGTTTGGAGAAAACAATTAAGAGGCAGAGCTAGGATCTTGGTAGGTCTCTGAATTCCCAATCCATTTAGCAGTCATTTCAACCTTCAACAATTAATATAACCTCTTCAGCCTTGGTTTATTCATCTGCAAAATGGGACTAATGTTATCTCATTGGATGTTGGGATGGTGTGTGTAAAGATGGTTCAGCAAATAAGTATGTCCCTCTCATGCATTCACCTAAGGGGGCAAAAACTGATTGTTGGGGGCAAGAAAATCTTAACTCTTTTTAGTATATAAAGCATACCTGTGTTATTAAAATTTCATGAGGAGTGGTGATTAGGAAAAAAAGGGTCTGAAAAGGCTCCTTAGTGGGGCGATAATGAAAAAATCATTGAGAAACAGTGCTCTAGACCAAGGTTTTCCCACCTTGGGTCCTTATCCACTAGTGGGTTGAGAATCAGCTTAGTGGGTTGTGATCAGCATTTTGGGGGGAAAAAATGCCATAGGGCATTGTACATAATAAGGGCCAGTAAGTATTCCGAGAATGTTCGGTTCAGCTCAGTGTGTCTGTGTGTGTCTGTGTGTGTGCATGTGCCCAGTCATGAAATAAAATGTATCTCTTGTGGGTTACTGTAAAACAAAGTTGACAGCCAGCGTTCTAAACCACTACTTTTCTTTTTCTCCCCTCATTTCTTATCTTTCAGACAAGCCCGTGCAGCCTGGGACTGTTTTGCTCTAAAGAGAAAGAAACTGATGATGAAAGAAACAGGAGAGACTCCAGATTTCAGTGAAACTTGGACCTGACCTTTCCCAGCTCATGGCCCAGAAGCTTTCTTCCCTTCCTCATTCTATATTCCAGGGTAAGCCCCAGGGACAGAGGAAAAGGAGTGCCTTCCCACTGGCAGAGGGGAAAGTGTCTCCCACCTTGCCATCCCAGGACAGCCCCTCCGCATTCCTCTCTCTGTCCCCTTTCCCCTCTCCTCCTTTCCTCTTCTCCCAGCTTGGAAGGCAACAGTCATGTTCCTCCCCTGCCCCAATTTGATTCCCAGCCATCTAACCCAAAGCAAGTCATTTAATTCCTCTGAGCCTCAGTTTTCTCAGCTGTAAAATGGGGGAAATGATTTGTAAAGTGAGGATTAAATGAGAGATTGCATAGAAAGTGTCTTAGCACAGTGCCTTGTATAAGGTGGGTGCTCGTAATAGCAGTAGCTAACAGGTCCTGAACACTGTGTAAAGTAGTTTTTATGCATATTCTCTATTTAATCCTCACACTGAGCCTACACAGGAGCTGGGAAGGGAGCAAAGCGGACTCTGGAGACAGGCCGCCTGGTTTCAAATCCTAGCTCAGTCTCTTTTTGTGTGTTTAAGGGCATCTATATTTCTTTTTTTGTGAACTCCCTTTTTAAAAAAAAAAAAAGAGAGAGAGCGCTTTCCTCCTAACCCCACAGAATGACTTCTGCTTACTCTTGGCCAGACCTCCAATTGCATAAGACATTGAGAAATATAGTTTTGTAAATAGGCACATGTCCATCCCCAACAAAAGAGGGAAAAAGGTGAGAATAGATATGGGTAGGCAGCTAGAAGCCTCGCCTTCAACAATCTTATCTTACTCTTGGCTTAACCTTCAGTTTTTAGTGGCCCATCTAGGAGGGAGAAATTGAACTAGTCGAAGGAGCGAGAGAGGGCAGTGGTAGTTCAGCGGCAGAACTCTCGCTGTCCGTTGGAGAGACCCCAGTTGGATGCCCAGCCAGTGCACCTCAAGTGCTGCCACAACTTGTCTCTCAGTGGAGGCTTGCATGTTGCTGTGATGCTGAACAGGTTGCAGTGGAGCCAACAGAATAGGAAGAAGGGCCTGGCAATCCACTGCTGAAAATCAGCCAGTGAAAACCCTGTGGATTACAACAGTCCAGTCACCTTGTGCATGAGGCCCCTGTGAACTGGGGGCTGACTTGATGGCCGCTAAAAACAACAACAATAAGGAGAAAAAACTGTTAACAGAGACGAGCTCTGAAGACGTAACTGAACTGTCTCAGTTGTAGTCAATGGTGTTTTGCTTCTCCTTTTCTTTTTTTTTTAAACCTTTCAGTTCCTTTAGGAAAATTGAGTTCGTGAATCTTCTGTATCTACTTAACATTATAGAGATCAACAAATTTTTTAAAATATGGTTGAAAAAAAATCCTGCCTGAGTCACTTCACGGCTGTGTGGCCTTGGGCAAGGTACCAAACCTCTCTGTGCCTGTTTTCTCAATTGTAAAATGGGTACAATAATAATCCTTACCCATAAAGTTGTTTTGAGGAAATGACTTGGTATGTTTAAGCATTCAAATTAGTGTCTGGCCCATAGTAAATGCTATATAAGTAGCATACAATGAGCTGGCATTATTATCACAACTTCACAGATGACGAAATTGAGGCCCACAGAGGTTGTCATTTACCCACCATCACAGAGGGAATAAAAGAGCCTACAGAGTAGAACTGCCCCATAGGGTTTCCAAGGAGCAGCTGGTGGATTCGAACTGCCGACTTTTCGGTTAGCAGCTGAGATCTTAACCACTGCGCCACCAGGGCTCCACATTTGTTTAACATTTTTAAAATTACAGTCGAACTTAAAGTGCACCCGTGATCAACATAAGAACATACCCCAAACCTTGGAAGGTTCTCTGGGGTCTCCTCCCAGTCAATCCCCATCTTCCCCCAAGTGAAACACTGTTTTCTTTTTCACCATGAATGTTTTTCCTGTTTTGAATTTCACCTATGGGGAGCCATACATTATGCTTCTTTTATGATCTGTGGAGTCCGAACTTGAAGACCAAATGCTCCTATCCTAGAAATTGTCGTCTTAATTGTTTACAGTGCCTTTTTAAGCAACAACTTCCACTGCTGTTATTCGCTCTCCCTCTTCCTTTCCCCTCTTTCAGCTCCGCCCCTGAAATGGAGCTGTCCGTCAAGCCAGGAACGAATTCTAACTGACCAATTCTGCGCAAGGCGGTAGAAGTCCCCTACCCACATGCTGGCCAGAGCAAGCCCTCTTCCAGGAAGCCAGTGATAGGGCACGTCTGTCAAGAGATTGGCCAATGGGAGAATGACATATGCTAAACAGTATGCCAGTGGGAGGGTGATATTCTCCCCGTCTCCAACTGCCTCTGCAGAGTCAGCCTCGTGCCTTTGCAGTTTGACACCTTCCAGGCAGCCTGAGGGGTGCAGGATGGCAGGCCGGGGCTCCCTACAGCCCTCCTTACGCCTTTCCCACTCCCCCCCTCCCTGGGGTGGAGGGGAGGGGCGGCTTTTCCAGATAAAAATAATATATATGTAAATATATGTTTTCAGGGTTTCTCCTTTTCTTTTTTAAGTGGGGTAATAATTGCTTTGGCTTTTCTTTTTAAACAAATATTTTCCAATTTTAAATATTAAAAAAATTTGAACATCCCTCCTCTTTTTCTGAGTTTTGAGTGCTGAGGAGAAAGATCAGCCTCCTTCTCCATCCTCCCACCTTGCCCCTCAGAGGTGAGGCCCTGTGAGAAGCTTGAGGACCTAGAAGAAGGGAGAGGTGATGTGAGAATGGGGTGGGAGGAGCAGAGAATGGGATGGGTGGAGTTAAGGTACAGCAGGCACATCATCAGGGTTGAAGGCGAGAGAGAAAAATGTTAAGGTATGAGACAAGAGTAGGAGGTGTAGACCATTTTGGGGAGTCCCGGGAAAAATGAATGAAATAGTTCGAATTGGTTTATAACAAAAAATTAGGACGTATGATTGCCCTGGATGAGCGATATTTAGAGTGCAATAGATCCAAAGGAGATTGGAGAAGAGCGATGCCTGATGGCTTTTGATGGTTACAGATGGATGGATCCCATGGCCATGGAGTTATTAAGGGTGAAGGAGGCTGGTGGGGGGGTGTCTCTGAGTCTGAAGGATGATGCGTTGAGATGTTCTCTTTGGCGTCTTTTTCTACCTTCTCTACCCCAGACAGGCATGACCTGGCTTTTTGTACTAGGCTGTATCTTCTTCCCATTGTGCTTTGCTGTCCTCTGCTGGGGCCTGCAGAACCATGCCAGCCTGCAGATGGAGAGACAAGAGGCTGTTTTGGTGGCATCCAAGTAAGAGGACGAGGGTGAGGGTATCCTTCCTGGGGCCAGGGCTGGTGGAGTTGGTCTCTTACTTTCAGGAGGCAAACGGCATCAGCACTGGGAAAAATGGTGGTGAAAGCAGAAGAGTGTGTGTTGGGGGTAGAATTAGGAGTCAAATATTGTGGTGCAAAAATACATAACAAAATACCAACTCAACAATCTCTGCATGTATAATTCAGTGACATTGATTACATTCAGCAACTTCCACTGCTTCAGGTTGTACAATGACTCTCGCTATCCTTTTCCAAAGTATTTCACCACCATTACCATAAACTCAATGCCCCCTAAGCAAAAGCTCCCCTTCCCCCTCCCTCCCACCACTTGTCACCACTAATAATTTTTGGTTTCTATATATTTGCTTATTTTATATAAGTGAGATCATACAGTAGTTGCCCTTTTGCAACTGACTTATTTCACTCAACATAATGTTTTCAAGGTTCATCCATTTTGTGGCATGCATCAAAACTTCATTTCTCTCTCTGACAGTAGTTTTCTATTATGTGTATATACCACATTTTGTTTATCCATTCATTCATTAATGGACATATCAGTTCTTTTCACCTTTTGGCTATTGTGAAAAGTGCAGCAATGAACATTGGTGTACAGTTTTCTGTTTGTGCTCCTGCTTTCACTTCTTCTGGGTATATAGCTAGGATTGGGATTGCTGGGTCATATGGTAGTTTTTATGTTCAGCTTTTTGAGGAACCACCAAACTGTTTTCCCTAGTGGCTGTACTATTCATTTTACTTTTCCACCAGCAATGGATGAGGGTTTCTGTTTCTCCACAATCTTGCCAACACCTATTGTTTTTTGTTTTTATGATTATTGCCATTTTAATGGGGGTGAGATACTATCTCACTGTGGTTTTGATTTGCATCTCCCTAAAGGTTAATGGGAGCCCTGGTGGTGAAGTGGTTAAGAGCTCAGCCTGCTAACCAAAAGGTCAGCAGTTCAAATCCACCAGCCACTCCTTAGAAACCCTATGAGGCAGTTCTACTCTGTCCTATAGGGTCACTATGAGTTGGAATGAGTTGGAATCGACTGGACAGCACACCACAAAGGTTAAAGATGTTGGACATCTTTTCATGTGTTTGTTGGCTATTTGAATATCCTCTCCAATGAAATGTCTGTTCAAGTCCTTTGCCCATTTTTTGATTGGGTTGTTTGTCCTTTTGTTGTTAAATTGTAGAAGTATTTTATATATTTTGGATATTAGCATCTTATCAAATATATGGTTCCCCCAAATTTTCTCCCAATCTGCAGATTGTCTTTTCACTTTTTGGATAAAGTCCTTTGATGAACAAAAGTATTTTTTTTATGAGGTCACATTTATCTATTTTGTCTTTTGCTGCCATATCTGATAGCCCATTGCTAAAAATAGACCCCATAGCTTCACTCTTACATTTTCTTCTAAGAATTTTATGGTTTTAGTTTTCACATTTAGATCCAAGATCCATTTTGAATTGGTTTTTTTTGTGTGGTGTGAGGTGTGGATCTGATTCATTCTTCTGCGCGTGAAAGTCCAATTTTCCCAGCACCGTATTTTGATTCTTCCTTTCCCATTGAATGGACTTAGTGCCCTTGTTGAAAATCAGTAGGGCATAGTTGTGTGGATTTATTTCTGGTCTTTAATTATATTCCATTGGTC